ATATGTCAATTGGTATACTATCTATTGCTGGGGCCTTATTTTTTGCTATTTCCTTCAAAGCAGCTTGAACTTCTTCCTTCATCACCATAGGCTCTGGCTCAAATGCTATTTCATTAAATGCTTCTATATCTGCCAATTCCTTTCGGTACAATAACTCAGTATATTCCTTACATCTTCTTTTGATACCTCCTGGATCATTTAACATTCTGCCTAAATATACTTTCTTTAAAACACTGGTGATTCTTTTTTGGTAATTTCTTGAAGAATGGGTCACTGTCTGTTGAGTTGGAACTGACTAGCTTACCCTCATTGGGTTTTCAGAGGCAGTTAATTGCCCCAGAGGAGATTGCCCTCCTTCTTCCATGGAGCAGGCAGCTGCAATTTCTGAGCACTCAGTCATCCGAGCTCACCTTCTTTGTACCTTGTTCTGGAAACACACTGGAAAGCAGGAATCCCAGGCTTTTTAGGGAGAGGTTGGCTAATGCTCCCTCAACTGAGAATCAAGTTAAATTATTGTCATCAAGTCAATTCCTAATCATAGAGACCCTATAGGACAGCCCAGAATGTCTCCATAGGATTTTCAAAGCTGTAATCCGTGTGGAATCCAACTTCTGCAGAGAAACTGGTGGTTTCCAGTCACCAACTTTTCAAGCCAATTGGTTAACCAGTATACTGCCAGGGCTACTTCAGATCACACTGAATGCCTGTAAACAAACTACTCCATTTTCAACTTTGTTAATTAATTTTCTCTATCATTGTAAAGTGAGTCATTGTGAATTGAATTGATGCAATAGCTTTAAATATTTAAAATATGTTTGTAAATTTAGTATTTTAAATAAATTTAGTATTTTATTTACTTTTCAAATGTTATCCTCAAATGCTTGGTCTAACAAATAGAATCTCTTCATATAAATAATAATAATAGCTAAGTTTTGAGCACTCAGTAAAAGCCAGGCATTGTTGCCAGCTCTTGGATGAACTCTTTATTTTCTCCCAACTCATTATTTTCTCCTTGCCTTAACATGGTACATTCCTCCTTTTATGTAGCTCTCTTTGGGTGTCCTTTAACAAGTAGTGCTCTACAGTTTACTTTGTATAAATCTTTTGTATTTCTGGGTAGGTTTGTAACCAAATATTTCTACTTTAGGATGGCTATTCTAAATGTGATGCTGAAGCCTGTGACAGTGATGTGCCAGTTGTGGTAATGGGCACCCATGGTGGACAGTATTGGCTGGAGCTTCCCGACTAAATCAAACCTGGAAGCAGAAGCGGCCTCCACTTCCCAAATGGCTTGCCTCTGGAAACTCTATGCTCACGCTGTTCGTTCATAGGGTCACTATGAGTTGTCTGCGACTCAATGACATTAAACAACAACAACAACAACAACATTCTAAATGATGCAGCTTTCCTTATTTCTTTTTCAGAGTTTTTTTTGTTACTATAGAGGAATGTGTTTTTTTTGTATATTGATCTTATACCCTGCTACTTTATTAAATTGTTCAATTAGATCCATTAATTTTCTTGTTGAGTCTTTGGATTTTCAATATGTAGGATTGCTGTTGTGTACCATAGAGTCAGAACTGACCTGTAGCTTACCTTCCTATGGGTTTTCAGAGACAGTTAATTGCATGGGAGAAGATTGCTCATCCTTCCACGGAGAAGCTGGTAGCCTTGAACCATGTTCCTTTGGGATTTCAGTGCAGCTTCTTGCCACTAGGCCACCAGAGCTCTCTCTCTATAGGATTAAATAATCTTTAAATAGAGATAATTTTGCTTTCTCTTTGCCAATTTGGATTCCATTTATTTTTTTCCCTGCCTTTTTGTCCTGTATGGTTTCCAATATATTGTTGAACAGAAATGTTGATAAAAGATATTCTTTTCTGGTTCTCATTAATTTTTTCTCCATGATGTAGTGTTGACCATTGGTTTTGTATATTTTCTTTTAAGGATGTTGAGGGATTTCACTTCTGTTCCTTTTTTTGTTGAGCATTTTCACCAGAAAAAAAAAGTGTTGAATTTTGTCAGATAGTTTCTCTGTATTAATTGAGATCATCATGTGGTTCTTTTTTTCCCCTTTATTTTATTGTTCTGGTGAATTACTTTTTTTTTTTTAATCTTTTTAGTTTAGAACCATCCTTGAATATCAGGAATGGGTCTCAGTTGATTTTGGTGTTGGGCTCTATTGGCTAGGATTTTATTTAGATTTATAACATCTATATTTGTGGAAGATACTGGTCTATAATTTTCTCTCATTATGCTTTCTTTTCTGGTTTTGGTACCAAAGTGATTTTTTAAAAATTCTTTACCTCATATATATGCTAAAGAACTACTTGGGGAGAAGGTATCCATAGCAGTCTGGTTAAATAAATCCTTAGAATTTATTTTTTAAATGAATGCAACTATTGTATATTTCTCGACACAAGTAAGTTTTCAACTACCTTTATATCATTGTTTTAACAAAATTGAAAGGATTTCTTTTCTTTTTTGCCTTTAGCCGTCCTCAGAAAGTGTGTTTATGTCCATTTCTACCAGTGCATCCTCTACACATCTCTACTCACTTATACATAATTCAACATCCAGCAGAGGTAAGATCATGTAAAATATACAATTTAAAATAGAAGAATATAGATGAATTCTGCTCTCTCTTACCTTGTCAGCATTTCTAAATTAAACCGAAAGTAACTTACTTTTGTGGGGGAAAATTTTCATTGACATTTTGTTTGATAATATAATATTTTACAGTTAGTTAGTATTTTATATAAAGCTATGATATTGAACATTAAAGATAGAGGTTGTTGTTGTTAGGTGCTGACAGGTTGCCTAGAACTCATAGCTTCCCTATGAACAACTCAGATTGGAACCTTGCCCTATCTTGCACCATCCTCAAGATCTCTGTCACGTTCAAATGTGTTCTTGTCACTCTATCAATGCATCTCATTCAGAGTCTTCCTCTATTTCACTTATTATCAGGAGAGCCAGGTCTTGGAACAGGACATCATATTGGGAAAGGTAGAAAGGCAATGAAAGAAAGATATTTACTTTATTTTATTTTATTATTTTTGTGTTTTGTACCATCAAATTAGATCTGACTGGTACAGGAGGAGATTGCCCCTCCTTCCCCGGCAGAGCATCTGGTGGATTCGAACCGTGCACCTCTGGGATGGTAGTTGCAGCACCTTGCCACTAGGCCACCAGAGCTCCTGAAAGAAAGATATTTAGAACTCCAGAAATTTTGTATGAATACAGAAAAAAATATTTTTGAATAAAGAACTATAAAAAGGAATGGTTTTTGGAAAAAAATATTTGGATATAACTTGAATTTCTTGATATCTCTGCTTGTTAAAATGCAGGTAACTGGCAGTATGGCAGTATGGTAGTGTTTGAAAATGTTTTGTTTCTATTTTCTTTTATACCATCAATTCCAGGAATTGATGGAATACCAGTTGGTGGCCTAGTGGTGAGAAGCTTTGCTGCAGTCCCAAAGGCACACGATTAGAGGCCACCAGCTGCTCCTAGGAGAAGGAAGGATAGTCTCTTCTTCTGAAAACCCATGTGAGTGTCAGCTGTGGGTCAGCCCTGACTCTGCAGTATACAACACCACCACCACCAACAGCAACGTTTCACCTAGAAGATGAAACCCTGGGAGTGTTCAACAGTCTGTACCAGGAAATTTGGAAAACAGGTAGCTGGTCAACTGACAAGAGATCCATGTTTGTTCAAATTCCAAAAAAGATGATATAACAGTATGTGGAAATTATCCAGTAATATTACTGTCACATGAAAGTAAAATGAAGATTACGGAGAAAAAAATATCTGGACAAATACATCAATGGGAACTTCTAGAAATTCAGACTGTATTCAGAAGAGACACGGAGACATTTTTACAGATGTCAGGTAAATATTAGCTAAATGCAATATACCAGAAAGGTGTTTCCTTTTGATTTATTGATTTTGCAAAAGTTATTTATGTGAATCATAACAAACTATAACTAACATTGGGATAAATGGAGATCCCAGTTGTGGAGTTTATCTTTCAATATGGCTTTCCTAGCCACTAAACTTGACCCTGCCATTTGCAAAAGTGAGAATATGTGAATAGGGCATGTTAGCCTTTCTGCAAGGGGGCTGGCTATCTCACCATTCCACAAAGGAATAGGTAGCCAGTCTCACCAGTCTACAAGGGGTTTGGCTAGTCTAACCACTCACTTGAGTGACTCCAGCAGCAGATTAGACCTTCTCCACCAGTGAAGCAGCAGCAGCAGCAGCAGCAGCAGCAGCAGCAGCAAGAGAATGGAGTATGCTCTTCAGAACCAGACATTCTTGCTCTAGCTACATCTATGTCAGCTGAAGCCATAGCCAAAGCAGAGGAACAGAGAGACCTGACATGAGGAGAAGCTGGCTACCATCCACCTCTCTCTTGCCCACTGACAGAACCAATATTAAGCTAAAAGCCTTTGTGTAGGTTTGTTGGACAATTTAGGGGTGCGTGGAACCAATATTGGTAGGACTGGGAACTTTGTAACACTGGTCTAAAGCTGTGAGGCTCAGAGCTGCAGTGCCTGAGAGTACTTTTTGGAAGCTGTCCTTACTTACTAACCTGGATATAACCTTTTGACTTCCTCAACATGGTTCTCTAATAGTCTATGAGCTGTCATATCAGATTTTGGACCCAGCAAAGCAGGATGATTGGTGTTGAGATGATTAAAAGGATATACGGGATTGTGGAAGACATGTCTGACCTTTTGGGAATTGGTTTTGTGTTATTGATGCTATTGACAGGGATATTTCCCCTTTGTGAAATGGGTAAAAGTCAGATATGACCATCTGCATGTGATCCTTGCTCTTTTTACACCAGTATATTTGTGTTCATGTGGAACCTTTGCATAGCCCATGAAGCAACTGCCCAAACAAAACAAGGGAATACTGCATTGTTCAAAATCAGAAAAGGTATATGTCAGGATTATATCCTTTCTCCATACTTTATCAATCTTTATACTGACAAAATAATTTGAGAAGGTGAACTAACTGAAGACTGACATCAATATTATAGAAGACTCATCAACCTCCTCCATTATGCAGATGACACAACATTGTGTGCTGGAAATGGAGAGGCTTGAAATACTTACTGCAGAAGATCAAAGAGTACATCATATGGATTACATCACAACATTAAGAAAACACTAGTAGACTATTAGATGGAGAAAAGATTGAAGTTGACAATAATTTCTTTTTTCTTTTTTTTTGATCCATGATCATCATCCATGGTAACAGCAGTCAAGAAATGAAAAGACGGGTGTTACATTGGGAAAATCTGCTTTCAAAGACTTCTCCAAAATGTAAAGTGCATTTATTGATTGTAGTTTAAAGACAAAGGTGTGCTTTAACCAAACTCTGCTATTTTCATTTGAAAACAGCTGAAAGTTGGACAATGAATGATGAAGACAGAAGAAGAATCAATGTCTTTGACTTGTTTTATAGAAGAGTACTGAAGCCAAAAGAAGAAACAAATCTGTCTTGGTAAAAGTGCAGTGATGGTGCTCCTTAGAGGCAAGGATGCTGACACTTTGTCTCACTATGGACATGTTGTCAGGAGGTGTCAGTACTTAGCAAAAGACATCATTGATGGGAAAGGTGGAGCAAAAGAGAAAGAGCAGAAAACCCTCAACTAGATGGATTGACACAGTGACTTTAACAGTGCACTGGACCATATCAAAGATGATGAGGTAGCTGCAGGAAAGTCCAGGTTCAGATCTTTTGTTTCTTGGCTTGCTCTGCGTCATAATCTCCTCAAGAGTACCGAACAATAGAAAATTTCCTGTACTGTTCAGCATTATGTATATGCATATTTGTGCTTTAAGAGTTGAAATAAAGAGAATAAAAGAGGTCGTAGAAGACTACAAACTACATTTAATACAAAACTAGGAAATGCATGGTACAAATGAATTTAGTGTTAACTGAAGCAAAAACCTATTTAGTGGTTAGGATTGAAACATAGATCTCATCAGAATCTTGAAGAAGAATTTTTTAAAATTTATGGAACTTGTACCACTTGAAGACTGAAATGTGAAATGGTTGTTTTCCTTTTCTTACTTAGAAAATCTTAATTTTTAATTTTTTAGGTATTTCATTTAACAGAAAATTTTTATCCACTTTTAATAGCATGTTTTCCCCAGCATTCTATAAAAATTTATCATTAGCATTATTTTAATGCATTTAAACTTGAAATAGATAGATTGTTGGCTCTTATACTTTTGGCCAACACTTCAATTTTTTTATAGTAATTTTGTGGTTCCAGACATTAGGAAGCCTTTAAAATGAAATAGATTTGTATAAATGTTATTATTTTTAATGTTTTATCTTTTTCTGTTGTAGTTCATGGTCTAGATTCTCTCTTATTGTGAATGCTGCAAAATGTGGTTTATGCATATGTAAAGAGAGTGACGCTGGATATCACTTCTCCTGGCTCCACAATGGTGATCAGTCCACAGTAGCCACAGTATAAAGCCATTTGTCATGAGTTCAGACAAAACTCCAAGCTCCTGTCCCTACTCTCTCAGTACTAGCTCCAAGTGTCCCTCACAGGCCTGTCTGTGCTCTACTAGTTGGTCCATTAATCCTTTGTGGCCACGTGACTGGTGTAGTCACAGAACCATTCTCACACTGTGGCAATAATTAGAGAAGTCTATTATTATAATTAAGGTGAGAGCAGGATGAATTTATTTAATCTGGACAAGTTCTAAAGGTATCCTACAGGCCTTTTGGCCTTTGGCCACAAGGCTTTTTTTTTTTAGGCCGTTGTTTACAAAACTCTCTTAACCACTCCCAAGTCTTCCAGTCTACCTTAAAGATCAGATGAGTAAAGCTTTCACCCAAAGAAGGACCCTTCTTTTGTTGACATAAGATCAGGGAAAAGAGCTACAAACCATTAATAATTAGCATAAGAAATGTTTGAAGCCTGATTCTAGGAATTCTAAAAATTCTAAGAAATGGAATGCATGAAGATTCTCACATTTTAGGTGTTTGTGAGTTAAGATAGATAGTATTAACCATTTTGAATGAGACGATTTGTGATCTAGTATGCAGGCAATGAAAAATGTAAAAGGAATGATGTGATGTTTATTGTCCAAAAGAAGATTGAAGATCTGTCCTGAAATACTCTGCTGTAAGTGATAGGATACAATTCATACCCATAAAAAGGAAGACCTGCTAATACAACTATTATGCCAATTTATATAGAGACCTCTGAAGCCGGAGATGGAGGATTTCTACTGACTTTTGCATGCTGAAATTGATTGAACATGCCTTTGAGATGCATTAATACTAATTAGTGACAGTAATCAAAATATGGAAAACGAAGACTAGTTGTTGTTGTTATGTGCCGTCGAGTTGACTGCGACTCATAGCGACCCTATGTACAACAGCCCTAAACTCCGCTATGTCCTGTGCCAATCGCACTGTCTCAGACACTCCCATCCCAATTATCCCAGTCACTGAATCAATCCACCTCATAGAGGGCCTTCCTCTCCTGCGCCATCCCTCCACCCTCCCAAGCATGATGTCCCTCTCTAAGGACCGGTCTCTCCTC